GAAGAAGAAAAAGGTAAAGATACAAATTATGAACAACAAATACACATCTATCAACAAGTGAATCTAAAAATCAAGTGAATAAAAAATCTGATGAACAGAATAAACTGGTGAATATAATAGAATCAGGGGCATAGAAAGAGAGTGGACTGACTATTCTCGGCGGGGAAAGAGGTGTGGGGGGTTCGGGAAGAGACTGGACAAAAATCATACACCTATGGATGAGGACAGTGGGGGTGGGGGAGTAAGGGCAGAGGGTGGGGTGGGAACCAGGTGGAGGGGAGCTATGGGGGGAAAAAGAACAACTGTGATCATCTGAACAATAAAGATTTAATTTAAAAAAAAGATTAAGACTACCCACTTTGAAAAATTGTATCATGTTATACTCAAAAATTAAGCTTCAGGTTAAAAAATTTTGTCATCTCTAAATGATTTAAATTATTCTTTTTTTAACAAATAAGTTTATTTTTAAAAATATATATTTTATTGATTTTTTTTTACAGAGAGAAAGAGAGAGGGAGAGGAATAGAGAGTTAGAAACATTAATCAGCTGCCTCCTGCACACTCCCTAATGGGGATGTGCCCGCAAACAAGGTACATGCCCTTGACTGGAATCGAACCTGGGACCTTTCAGTCCGCAGGTCGATGCTCTATCCACTGAGCCAAACCAGTTAGGGCTAAATTATTCTTAAACGTGTATATTGTGAGTATCATATTTGAAATATACATATACGTTTTTAAGTGTTTAGTCCGGACTGTATTTTTGATTAGCTAGTAGGTGCCTACACATTGTAGGACACAATAAGTATTTTAGGAATTTTAAATAAATGTTTTTGAAGTGGGGAAAAAAAGTACCCCCGTTCCTTGCCCTGAATTCTGTTTTAGACTGAGACCCAAACAAATTATACAAAACTACCCCATGCCCTAACATACATCTCAAATCGTGTGGTGTGAAAAGTGATGATGTGCCAGGCACACAGGTGGAGGACAATGAAGTTCTGGAAAATCTATTTTTATTTGGGCTCAAGGCAGTGATTTACAGTTATTAAAATAATTCCTAGAAATTTTTAATGCCGATAATGGCCTAAATAGGAGGAAGAAAAATAATAATAGTGGTGACAAGTTATTTACTGAGCACGTTTTGTATGCCACATAGTGTGCTGGATGCTTTATCTATTACTATTTAATCCTCACAGTAACACCAAAGGTAGGTATTATTTTCTTATAGCTGAGACTATTGAAAGTGGCAAAAAAAAAAAAACTGGATAAGAATCTAGATCTGACTTTTTACTCATTTTGTCAAAAGGATACTTCATTGAAAAGTTACTGTCTCTTGTCTGCCACATTTATCTTTATGAATTTGTTTAATCTGAGGATCTCTGGAATGGTAATGTTACTACTACAAACATTACATAGTCCTTACTGTGTACCAGGTAGCTCTGTCCATATGTCCGCAAAAGTATGTGGGCTAGCCACTGTTTTTTTGTTTTACAGATGAGGAAATTGAGGCACAGAGATAAGTAATCTGAACCATATAATACCTCAAGTGTTTCTTTTTAATGCTCAGGCAGATACATGTAGGATAACTTTATGTCTGCCACCTGATGTCTTATATCAGTGTTTTATGGAAACAGTTACAGAATCCTAATCATAGTTAACCCTTACTGAGAGCTTCTACATTCCAACTCCCCATCTGAACATTAAAACATCTCACATAATCCTCAGCACAATGCTAGGAGGTAGATAACTCTCATTCGTGAGGCGCTTTCATTGTTTTCAAAGTGCTCTCACAAAATAATCCCTTTGATTCTCTCTATGATGTCAGTCAGAGGAATGATCATCTTTTTAAAAATATATTTTATTGATTTTTTACAGAGAGGAAGGGAGAGGCGTAGAGAGTTAGAAACATCGATCAGCTGCCTCCTGCACACCTCCTACTGGGGATGTGCCTGCAACCAAGGTACATGCCCTTGACCGGAATCGAACCTGGGACCCTTCAGTCCGCAGGCCAACACTCTATCCACTGAGCCAAACCAGTTAGGGCGGTATTATCATTTAGTCTAACTATTGAAGTTCAGATCACTTGCCTTGACTAGCATGTGTGGAGTTAATACTCAAAGCAGAGCTATGGACTCCTGGGTGCACTGCTTTTGGCACTGTACCAGTCTGTCAGTGGATTCTTGTTTTCATACTTCATGCCCTACAATAGATGTAGTTTTCCATAGTAACAGCTTCTCTTTGGTGATTACATTCCCAACCCAGAATTCATCATCAGTTGAATCATAGATATGACTAGCCATAAACCTTTGTCTTATTTTCATACGTAAGTTTATGTTCTAACTTCAGATAGAATGCCTGGCCCATAGCAAGGGCTCAGCACGTGTTTGAATAAGATAAGAGACGTCTCACATACATTGATACCAAAAAAAAAAAAGTTTTTTAAAATTATTTTTTAAATCTTGGCTCTATTGAAGTATAATCGCCAGAAATACTTAAACTTCTCTAAGTTTAAATGTTGTAGCTTCATTTTTGTTCTGATACCACAGCCTTCCCCCTCCCTTACCTCACAAGCAGAAGCTTTCAGAATTATTTCTTTGAATTATAACTGACTTCAAAATTAGACTCTGTCTTTCTCCACCCTAAGTCATCATTCCCAGCCTGCTGTCTCCCTGTGGTATACCTCTTGTATATAATGGAAACAACATGGATGTGAGCGTCAGTTTTACCTTGCCCTGCCTCTTATTACTTCTGTGGCCTTGTACTTCTCTGAACCTATTTCTTCGTCTTGTAAAAGTGGGGAGAACACCTTTCTTATAGGGGTGTGGTGAAATTTTATTGAAATAACAGTTCTACCATCCTAGGAAGTACTCAGTAAATAATAGCTATTAGGTGTCCCTCCTCTGCCCCTCTGGCTCCCCTCTGCTTTGGCTCTCAGAAAATTATATTAAAAAGATCTGTCTGTCTGCTAATACTTCGCGCTAAACCATAAACTCCTTGAGGACTGGGACCATGCCATATTTATTTTTACATCCCTGGTGCTTGGCACATAGTTGGGACCCACTGAATGAATGTTTATTGCACTACATGCATTCAGAAAGCCATCTGGAGCCTTTTTTCTTGGTGATCCTATTGCCTGAAGATTTTGGACACCCTTGGTCACTGGACATGTTATTCAAGGACTCCTAGATTGAAATAGGGGATGTGGCCGAAACCGGTTTGGCTCAGTGGATAGAGCGTCGGCCTGCGGACTGAAAGGTCCCGGGTTCGATTCCGGTCAAGGGCATGTACCTGGGTTGCGGGCACATCCCCAGTAGGAGATGTGCAGGAGGCGGCTGATTGTTGTTTCTCTCTCATCGATGTTTCTAACTCTCTATCTCTCTCCCTTCCTCTCTGTAAAAATCAATAAAATATATTTTAAAAAAAAAGAAGAAAAAAAAGAAATAGGGGATGTGACTTGTGGAGAGTCAGGTGAAGAAGCAAGGGAAACCTTCATTCTGCTCAGTAAGTGCCTGTGTGTGGAGGTGTCTTGGCTTTTTATATATGAGTGTCAGGGTGTGTATTTAAGGATTAAAACTTATCAGGCCAATTGTTCCATTGCTTCTGAAGACAAGGAAGAAGAGAAGAACTTTCCCCAAAAAAGTTGTTTCAAACATATAAAAATAACACTAATTATAGTTGATGATTAATACTTTCACATTATACTTTTAATCATTTATCTATCTGTCCATCCTTCTATCCATCCATCTACCAAGTCATGTCAAAATGCTATTATATTTGAAGAGTTTGAGCTATATACTTTGTGTTTATTTTATGTCAGTTTTACTTTATATAGTAGCAGATAATTTTTATGAATTAATTATAACTGATTTAGAATGTTCTGAAAACATTTGTATATCAGATGCAAATAAATCTGCTTTCTCTGTCTCTAGTTCCAAAAGATGAGTCGTGGATATTCAGAAAACAACAATTTCCTGAACAATAACAGCCAAATGGTGTTGGACATGCTTCTTTATCCATTAATCGGAATCCATCAGACCATCAACTGGGAAACTGTGGCAAGGCTTGTTCCTGGATTAACGCCCAAAGAGGTAAATAACAGTCCCACAGATATCTCCTGAAAAAAAATTAGAAAAAGTGATCAATTTCAAGGAACAACTAAAAAAAAATAATTATAGAAAAGTATCTTCAAATAGTAGACAAGAATATATTTTCTTATTTTTTAATTTTAAAACTCCCAGCCCAGTCAGTGTGGCTGAATGGTTGAGCATTGATCCATGAACCAAGAGATCACTGATTTGATTCCAGGTCAGGGCACGGGCCCAGGTTGTGGGCTCCATCCCCTGTAGGGGTGTGTAAGAGGCAGCCGATCAATGTTTCTCTCTCATCAATGTTTCCATCTCTCTATTCCTCTCCCTTCCTCTCTCTCTAAAAATAAATAAAAGCATAATTAAAAACAAACAAACAAAAACTCCCAGACCTGCATTTTCTTCCTTTGATATTATTACAGTGTGCAAAAAGGTTTGAGGAACTGAAGAGCAGTGGAAGCTCACCTGTTGACAACCGGTATAGTCCCCTAATGGCTGGAGAGAGTCCCGTTGAAACTTTAGCCACGTATATCAAATCCTCACTTCTTGACACACACGGAGAATTTCAGGAGGCTTCTGTTGATCAGGATGCAGTTTCCAAAACAGGTAAGGTTTTAAAACAAAATGCAGTGTTTGTCCTTACGATAATTCTGCAAATTATTATGTATTCCAATCATCTTTTCTTTATTTATGTAAAGGCTAATATAAACATTAATAGAAAAATCTATGCATTTTTGTGTCTTCCTAAATTTTAGAAATTTTTCTTTTCTATATTTGAAAAAATTTTAAATGTTAATATACAGGTCAAATATTATTAACAAAAAAATTTATTTACTATACCAAAATTTACTACTCCAAGTTATGTCATAAATATTAAAGGGATTTGACTTAAGGTTTTTTCCCCTCCCTCAGAGAATTTTGCTTGTCTCTTGTGTTATCTTTTTTACAGCTATCTATCCTTTATTGCAGTCAATGATAGTTTCAAATGACACAGTGGCAGGATAGAAGAGATGTTTTTCCGCAATTGCTTTGGAAATAATACTGGTTTTAGAAATCCTCAGAGTGTAGTGAATTGTTTTAATCTCAGCAGCAGCAGTCAGAATGTGAAAATTGATGTGAAAATTTACTTCAGGAAGGGAAATTTATATTGTTGGCTTTTGAGCATTTGACCCTATTTGTACACGCCATATCAGTATTTTTTAAATCTTCATTGTAACATTAGCAATTTGTTATCCCTTTTTTGGACTGTTTCTTGCATAAACCTTTGGAATACTAAGGGAAATGCCACCTTTAACTAGCTTTGGAAGCCATGCATGTACAGTATAACCATTCAATAAGTAAAAATCCATTCTGAGCTAGAAATGCTAACTTCCCCCTTTTTTTGTATGTGTTTGTTTCTGTATTTAAGGAAGACATAGTATAGCTTCCACAAGGAATTGTTCTTCAGAAAGTGAAAATTGTACTACTCATAATGGTGGAGAAAAGACTGAAGAATCTGAAGGGTAGGAGGCTGGTTCTTTGCTAGATAAGTTTAATATGAGTATCAACTTTAAATTATAAAATACATGACTGGTGATTATATACATCAGGTACCATAATTTAGGAAATACCATAATTGATGAAACAGTTGAAATTAGTTTATATGTTGAACTATATATAATTGCTTGATAGCTAAACATATGCTTATTTGTGTTGTTTATAAATTGGACTAGTTTTTCATTTTAAAATTTTATTTTCACTTTGTAAATATTAGAAATAACATCTATTAACCTAAAACTTTGAAAAGTAAATTTTAAATCTAAAGGAAAAGTCAATCATTAGTTCTCCAGTTTTATTAAAGAAACTGGGTATGTATTTTAGAATGACATATTTGAATATAATTATTCATTATAGAAACATTTAAAAATTAGAATATATCTTTCAATATATTACAAGTTATTTTTAAATCTCCCTATTTTTTTTCTTTTATTGATTGTAGAGAGAGGAAGGAAGAGAGAGAGAGAGAGAGAGAGAGAGAGAGAGAGATATCAATGTGGAAGAGAAACATTGATTGGTTGCCCAAGCACACTGGGGATCAAACCTGCAACCTGGGTATGTGCCCTAACCTGGAATCAAACCTACCACCTTTTGGTGTATGCAATGCTCCAACCAACTGAACCACACCAGCCAGGGCTGTATTGCAAGTCTTAATACTTTTGTATTGTTTTGTATATTTTACATACAGTCAACTGCACATATTTTAAGTATTCACTTTGATGAGTTTTAACAAATGGGCTCACTATGTAACCATAACCCAAATGAAGATATAGAATATTTTCATTGTCTCTAAAAGTTTTTTTGTGTATTTTCAGTTTAGATAGTTCTTTTTGTAACAGTTTTATTACTATATAAATCACATACTATAACATTTACCCTTTTGAAAACGTCTTGGAGATGGATAGTAGTGATAATTGCAACAATGTGAATGTGCTTAATGCCACTGAACTGTACTCTTAAAAAGGCAAATTTTATGTTATGTATATTTTACCACAATAAAATAAAATCACCCTTTAAAAGTGATTTTTAGTTTATTTACATATAATTTTTACGTAGATTTTTTTAACTAAGTTTGTATCACAAAAATTTTATCAGATAATTTTTTTACATGGAATTATCTAGTATTTCAGATAGTGGTCCAAAAAGCCACAGAAACTTTATGCTTCATTATACCAGCCATTACCTGTTTATATTTTGACCATAATTTATTTGGAAGGACAATTTTCAGAGAGTTATTTAAATTATTTTGATGTGGACAAGAGTGTTGATTAATAACCCTTTTTCTGGTAGCCCAATTTTATTTCAAATGCAATTATTTACTTACTTATTTTTATTTTTCAATTACAGTTGACATTCAGTAACATTTTATATTTGTTTGAGATGTAGAGCATAGTGGTAATTTTTTATATTTAGAAATAAAGTTCCACTAAACACACATCCAGTTCATCTTGTAGGACAGTGTATCTCTTCTTATTTAATCTCTTCCTTTTGTAATGACATGAAGGCAATTGTGGATCACACTAATGTTTCTTTTTGAGGTAATATACTTTTCAAGGGATAATAAATTCAAGGAGTACATAATTTTCGAAGCAGTCATTCTGATGTATCATCTAAACTTATTCTCAGATTATTAAAAAATATGTAAATAAGCACATTGTAGTTTTAAGAATTATTTTAACTATATTTACTAATTTATATTTATTGAATGCCTGACAGACTTTCTTTTTTTAAAAAAAAGTTTTTATTGTTATTGTTTTTAAATATATTTTTATTGATTTCAGAGAGAAAGAGAGAGAGAAACATCAATGATGAAAATCATCAATTGGATGCCTCCTACACACCACACCCCCTGCTGGGGATCCAGCCCACAACCTGGGCTTGTGCTCTGACTGGGAATAAAATTGTGACCTCCTTGTTCATGAGTTAAACCTCAACCACAAGAATTAGAATGTATTTCTTAATTTTTCTTCATGAATTGGTACTGTTTTTTAAATTTTCATAATTTACTTATACCTTGAAAATAATGAATTTAAAACCTGTAAATTATGAGTCCCATAGTAAAAAATATTTTTACTTGTCTAATTAAGTGAGTAGTTTAACTAAAATTATTCATAATCTCAGATATGGATAAGATTAACACGACCTTTAAATCCTATAAAACTGATTTGTGGTCAAATCTTAAAAAACATCTTGTTCTCATACTTCCAATAAATGTTAATATTCTTGACTCCTCTTCTAAAATTCTAATAATTTTATTTCTGTGTAACATTTTTTATGAAGGCCAAATATGGTGATCCATGTATGTGATGAAGCAAAAAATTTGAAAGAAGATTTTATTTGCCCACGAGACCTTTTGATATCAGAAATGAAGTACTTTGCTGAATATTTATCTATGGATGCCCAGCGCTGGGAAGAGGTGGACATTTCAGTTCACTGTGACGTTCAAATTTTCAACTGGTTGATAAAATATGTTAAAAGGAACACTAAGGAGAATAAAGGTTGTGAGATGCCCACTTTAGGTAAAAGACAATCTATTACTTACTTTGTAGTTAAGTTTGTGTGTCACCTGGTAGTTGCTTCAGGCCAAGCATGAAATGTGGATAATTGCTTGAACATTAGCATTTATACTCAAATTAGTAATTGCCCTTTAGAAAACATACCTCATATTTTTATTAAATTATAATGAACTTGAGGCCTAGTGCATGAAATTTGTGCACTCAGGGGGTGTCCCTCAGCCCGGCCTGCACCCTCTTGCAGTCCGGGAGCCCGGGGGGGGGGATGTCCGACTGACATCTTAGCGCTGCCACGGAGGCGGGAGAGGCTCCCACCACTTCCGCTACGCTCCCCAGCCGTGAGCCTGGCTTCTGGCTGAGCGGCACTCCCCCTGTGGGAGTGCACTGACCACCAGGGGGCAGCTCCGGCATTGAATGTTTGCCCCGTGGTGGTCAGTATGCGTCATAGCAACCGGTCATTCTGCTGTTTGGTTGATTTGCATATTAGCCTTTTATTATATAGGATGTGTATGGCGAATGGACAGGTCTCTACATCAGCAATTCCCATTGTATGGTACATGGACCACTGGAGTCCTAGAGCAGTGATGGCGAACCTTTTGAGCTCGGCATGTCAGCATTTTGAAAAACCCTAACTTAACTCTGGTGCCGTGTCACATATAGAAATTTTTTGATATTTGCAACCATAGTAAAACAAAGATTTATATTTTTGATATTTATTTTATATATTTAAATGCCATTTAACAAAGAAAAATCAACCCAAAAAAATGAGTTCGTGTGTCACCTCTGACACGCGTGTCATAGGTTCGCCATCACTGTCCTAGAGGATCCTTTTAGAGGATCCAGGAGGTCAAGACAATTTGCATAATAAAACCAAGATGTTATTTGTCTTTATGTGTTGACATTTGTCCAGGTGGTACAGATGTAAAACTGTTGCAGCTTTAGCATATATCAAGGCCAGTGCACCAAACTGTATTAGTGGTCTCTGTATTCTTCAGCACCATGAACTCACAGTTAAAACGGGGAAAAAAAATCCAGGTTCACTTAAGAATGTTCTTGATGAAGTGGTAAAAATTACTAATTTTATTAAGTTTTGAGCCTTGAGTATACATTTTTTTAATATTCTGTGTGAGTATACAGAATATACATCTTGAGTATACATCTTTTTAATATTCTGCCACACACCAAAGTATGATGGTTGTCTTGAGGAAAAGCACTTGTGCAGTTGTTTGAGTTGCAATCTAACCTCGTTGCTTTTTTTAAAAATTGAAAACTGTGTTTACTTGAGAGAATGACTGACAGACAAATTATGGTTACTCAGACCTAGGCATTTGGCAGATATTGTCTTGAAAATTAATTAAGCCCTAGCTGGTTTGTCTCAGTGGATAGAACATCGGCCTGCAGACTAAAGGGTCCTGGGTTCATTTTCAGCCAAGGGCATGTACCTCGGTTGCAGGCTCCTTCCCAGGCCAGGCCCTGGTCAGGGCTCGTACAGGAGGCAACCAATCGATGTGTTTCTCTCACATCCATGTTTCTCTCTGTCTTTCCCTCCCTTTTACACTCTCCCTAAAAAATCAATGGAAAAATATCCTTGGGTAAGGATTAACAACAAAAACAAAAAAAACACCAAAAAAAGAAAAGAAAAGAGAATGAATTAAATGAGCTGGTCAATTAAAAAGAAACAACTGCTAGTATTTGTTGCCAATGATAAAATTCAAGCTTTCAAGTGAGAAAGTTTGGAAAACTTTTATGTGCTTGACAGCTTCTTAATATTTAAAGACTTTTCTGATGAGACTTGCAGTCATATTAACAAATGTGATTTTTTAATATATTGTACAATGAAATGGTTCAACATTTGGAAGATCTGCATAACTCCGTGAACCAATATTTTCCTTGACTAGTACATGATGTTAAAAATCGTGCATGGAGCCCTAACTGGTTTGGCTCAGTGGATAGAGCGTCGACCTGCGGACTGAAAGGTCCCAGGTTCGATTCCGGTCAAGGGCATGTACCTTGGTTGCGGGCACATCCCCAGTAGGAGGTGTGCAAGAGGCAGCTGATTGATGTTTCTCTCCTATCAATGTTTCTAACTCTCTATCCCTCTCCCTTCCTCTCTGTAAAAAAATCAATAAAACATATTTTTTTAAAAATTGTGCATGGAGTTAAAGATTCAAAGCACAAGGTAAATCAGTGGGTTTTAAGGTAATAGAATGGAAAAGTTCATTGATATGATTTCAGATCCCATTGCAACTAACCTTAAGAAAGTACCATTTGTCAAGTTTTGATATAACATCAAAAAAGATTACCCATATATTGAATGTAGAACCAGATATGAGAATCCAGCTGATTTCTATTAAATGAGACATTGAAGAAATTGCAAAATATGTCAATGTTATTCTCACTAGTTTGTTTTTTTTCATTTTGGAAAATATACTAGTTATTTTTCATAAAAATATGTGAATATGTAATGAGTTTATTATTTTTTAAAGTAAATTAATACATTTTCTGATTTAATCTTTAATATGGTAAATACTCATATAACCCTTATAAACAAAAGCTCTTTAGGAGTCTGTTTTTCAGATTACAAAGCGATCTTGAGAGCAAAAGTTTGAGAACCACTATTCTAGATGATAAGAATAATTACTAAGTAATCTTTCATTGGGCATAGTTTTATATAGGAAATCTCACTAGTGGTTTAAGAAAGTCTTTCTGTGCACTAAAATTGCTATTTACAGCAGTACCAAAATATTTCTTTTTTAAAATATACATTTTTATTGATTTCAGAGAGGAAGGGAAAGGGAGAGAGAGACAGAAACATCAATGATAAGAGAAAATCATTGCTCGACCGCCTCTCGCACACCCCTCTGGGGATCATGCTAGCAATCCAGGCATGTGCCCTGTCCTGGGAATTAAACCGTGACTTCCCAGTTCATAGGTCATGCTCAACTACTGAGCCACACTGGCCAGCACCAAAATATTTCTAACCTCTTATTAGTAAATGAATCTATACTGACAGTATAAAAATTTTCTGAAGAAGTTTATAATTTCTATTTTAATGGAAAACATTTCTAGTGGTTTATGATTAAATAAAATGAATTAATTAAAAAAATTTCAGCCAATCAGAGTCCAGAGATACTGGACCATGCAGATGATATGTATGTGTGAAGCAAAAATCAAAATATGTAGAGAAAAAAAAAGCTATTTCTTGATCCAGTATATTTATGTGGATGGTAAAGGTAAAAGTAGAGCAAAACTAGTCACTGTAATCTTTGACCTTAAAAAATGACTAGAAATGTAAACTTTTACACACATAATCTTTATTCTGATCTGGAAAACTACCAAAATGCTTAATTAAATCTCTGATAATCTAGACAATGGGTCTTAACTGGAATGGATCATATTATAATTTCCTGAGGAACTCTTTCACCAGCTCCTTCCTCCCTTCATTTCTATCTGAGAAACTTTCATCTAGAGTTGTTATTTAAGAAAAGATAGGGGTTACTTATTTTAATCATTGTTTGTATAGTTCTTTAGTTGGATTGTCTTAGTGCTATAATGGTAAAAATCAGATTTTTCTTTTTCTTAACTATACTTCATAGGAGATGACTTAGGTTTACTGAAACAGTAGCATCATATGGCATCCTCCTCTCCCTGGCTCCACTCAGTCTGCCTTTAGGAAGGAACTTTAGCATTTCTGCAGAAGTAAATTTTGTATTGTCTTTCAGAATCTTTTTCATTAAGTACTTGTTCTTAAAAGCATTGAACTGCTTTTTATGAACAAGGGCTCTCAATCATTTAAAAATTTTTCTCACTGATTTTTGTGTGATGAGTTATATTCTGTTTTTTTTTAAAAAAATATATTGATTTTTTTACAGAGAGGAAGGGAGAGGGATAGAGAGTTAGAAACATCGATGAGAGAGAAACATCGATCAGCTGCCTCCTGCATACTTCCCACTGGGGATGTGCCCGCAACCAAGGTACATGCCCTTGACTGGAATCGAACCTGGGACCCCCCAGTCCACAGGCCGATGCTCTATCCATTGAGCCAAACCGGTTAGGGCTATTCTCAATTTTAATTATCTTTTTCCCTGGTTTAGTTAAGGAGAAATTTGCATATATTGTATCTTTAACTGGAGTTCTCTTACTTGATAATGCATCTAATTCCAGGGCAAATTTACTGTGCATTTTCTTAATACCCTAAGTTTGAACATTGCATTTTCTTTCTTTCACATATGTAAGCCATAGTAATATAATCTTTTAAGGTGAGAAGGAGCCTTTTCTCAGGAATTTGAGGTACAAATAAAAAGGAGAATTTAAATGTTTGTTTTTGTTTTTTTTAAGAGCCAGGAAATGTCATTTCAATTCTTATTTCTTCAGAGTTTTTGAAAATGGATTCATTGGTAAGTATTAATAAAAGATCTAAGCTCTTCTGTTCACCCATGCTTGATTTAATATTTAACTTGATTTTTCCTTCAAGTTCTGAAGTAATTGTTAATTCAAGAGTGTGATTCCATTAGAATAAACTGCTCATGTTTGAAGGTATTTTATTCTGTTGTGAAAGGGGTTAAGGCTGTTATATATCATTTGTATATGATGCCTATAAAGCAAGCAATTTATCCTCAAGGAGTAGCTCTCTGTTGTATTAGATGAAACAAAACAGAATTAACTTTACCCTAACAAAGAATTTGCTCTAAAATCAAGTTAAATGAAAATTAATTGGAATATATTTGTTTCACTATTTAAGTAATTTCTTTAAGCATGTTTTGTTAATTTGTGTCTTTCATTTATAGTTCAGCAAATTAAGAACCAATACCCAACTATTAAATAATATAATTTTGTATGTGTAAATCAGATGCTCATTCATTCTATTGTTTAAGAGTAGTTGATGAAACATAAAAGCATATGTACATAAACATACCAAGTTTTAACATGAAATATATTTGTGTGTTTTTCTTGTTAATGAATTTATTTATCATTCAAATGTTTTTATATATTCTTATGGTTTTCCTTTAAGTAAATATTTGCTTTTAGTCCCCAAGAAGATTACACAGGGCAGAACACTCCTTTGCTATGCTAATAGATGTGAAATTTGTTTGTTTATTTGATTGATTGGGGTTTTACTAGTTTACTATGTTCTTTTTATTCCTTAGTCCTCCCCTAGTCAGTTGTTGGTATTAATTGCTTCAGGAAAGGGTTACAGAAAAAAACAGAAATTAAAAAAATCCTTAACATTTGAATTCTGAAATCTAAGCCCTAAAGGATATTTTTCTGCCATAAGCAAAGTATTTTGAAGAATACATGATTTGCCAATGCTAGTTTTCCCTGGAACCCAAGTCCACCTCAAAAAGTAAATTTTCATAAATGATTTAATATGAAAAAAAGTAAATAAATATACCTCAGGTTGGAGAAGGAGGAAGAGAGCAAGCACAACACAACTGAGAAAATCCTGAATTGACTGAAATTGTTTCTGCTACTCAGAGAAATGGAAACTTAAAATTTTTATCTAAGTTCAGTGATAAGAAGTCACATATCCTGCCACAGCTATGAAAGATGCTCATTGCATTACTTTTTAAAATATTTTAAGAAGGTGGAAAATGATTATTCTAGCTATGGATATATGTTTGTACAAATTTGACCTGCTGGACCACTTTGGAACAGTGTAGATAACCCAAATAAGCAAAACCCAGATAGTACGTAGCAATACATGGATAAGGCTTTTAATGAATTTTACCTTTGAAAGGTATTGATATTATATTATCCTTTATGCTGCTATTTTCAACATTCATTTTTTATTCTATGTTTTTTAGGTTGAACAATGTATTGAGTATTGCCACAAAAATATGAATGCCATAGTAGCTACGCCATGCAACATGAACTGTATTAATGCAAATCTTATTACACGTATAGCTGATCTATTCACACACAATGAGGTTGATGACTTAAAAGACAAGAAAGATAAGTTTAGGAGGTAATTTTTAATTTTACTATTATTTTTAATATATTTTTATTGATTGCAGAGAGGAAGGTAGAGGGAGAGAGAGATCGAAACATCAATGATGAGAGAGAATCATTGATTGGCTGCCTCCTGCACACCCCCCACGGGGACTGAACCCGCAACCTGGGAATGTGCTCTTGGCCGGAATGGAACCTGGGACCCTTCAGTCCATAGGCCAACACTCTAACCCAGGGGTGGGCAAACTTTTTGACTCGAGGGCCACAATGGGTTCTTAAACTGGACCGGAGGGCCAGAACAAAAGCATGGATGGAGTGTTTGTGTGAACTAATATAAATTCAAAGTAAACATCATTACATAAAAGGGTATGGTCTTTTTTTTTTTTTTAGTTTTATTCATTTCAAACGGGCTGGATCCGGCCCGCGGGCCGTAGTTTGCCCACGGCTGCTCTAACCACTGAGCAAACCAGCTAGGGCTAATTTTTAATTTTAAATCTGATGTTCCTATTAGAAAAAATATATATTATTTCTATTTCATTTTAGTAAAATAGTCTGTTTTTAGATTACATTTAAAAATATATTTCCATTTTATTTTAAATGAAGTAAAATTCATCCAGAGCCAGTTGCCCAAGATTAATATTAGTAATTAAATTAGTTATTTTGTATAATGTATATATGAGCTTACTGTGGCAGTGAATTATGTAATTATTAAGACTGACCTTAGTATAAAGGGAAAGAGTGGTATGAGGAGGGGTCAGCAGTAGTCATTGGCAGCAGAGGAGTGGCATTATCTGATTTGTTAAAAGATCATTTTGGTTTCTGTGTGATGAATAGACTATAAGGATATAAGAAGCAAGGAGACCTACTAGGAAGTTAATGCAGCAGTCTGGTGAGAGAGGAAAATGTTGGGACTAGAGTAGAAGCAATGGAGCTGGAGGGAAATAGATGTCTTCAGAGTAGGTCATTAGACAGATTTGGTAGATTTTTCCTATGGAATGATGTAGGAAGAGAGAGTATTCTAGGGTAATTACTAGGCTTTAAGGTTTAGCAACTAAGTGGATGGTAGTGTCATCCACAGAGTGGAAAGATTGAAGTGAAGGGAATCAAGAAATGGGTTTGGGTCATGTTAAGATTATTTAATGACCCAAAAGTATATATTTAATATATTTTTAGACATCAGTTAGGATGGCAAGTAGATAGTTGGATAGCTGAAGTTCAGGTCAGAGGTCAGGGCTTAAAACAGAAATATAAGCATAGATGAGGTTTGAAACCATAGAACTGGATGAGATTTCCTAGCAAACCTTTCTCCACTGGATTGCAGTGGCACCTTTATTATAAATCAGATGAATATATATATGTGAATTTTGTTTCGAAATTCTGCATTTTCTGTTGATTTCTTTGTGGATACATATATCAGAGGCACATTGTCTTAATTGTAGTAGCTTTATAATATTCTTTGTTATCTAAATTCTCCAACTATGCCTTTCTTCAAGATTGCTGCTTTAGCCATTTTAGGTCCCTTGCATTTCCATATTAATTTTATAATCACCTAGCCGGTTTGGCTCAGTGGATAGAGCATCAGCCAGCGGACTAGAGGGTCCCAGATTCGATTCCGGTTAAGGGCATATGCCCAGGTTGCAGGCTCTATCTCCCCACTAGTGGGTGTGCAGGAGGCAGCCAATCAATGATTCTCTCTCATCATTGATGTTTCTATCTCTCTATCTCTTCCCCTTCCTCTCTGAAATCAACAAAAAATATTTTAAAAAAAATTTTATAATCAGCCTGGCCATTTCTCTCCCTCTCTTTCTCTCTCTCTCTCTCTCTCTCTCTCTCTCTCTCTCTCTCACACACACACACACACACACACACACCACATACACACACACCTGCTAGAATAATTTGGGGTTAATATTGAACCTGTAGATTTGTGAAGATTTGACATCTTAATAATATTGAGTCATTCAGTCCATGAACATGGTATAACCCCCCATTTATTGTAGCAATGTTTTATAATTTTCAGTGGAAAGATCCTTTTCATTTTTTATTAAATTTATTCTTGGGTATTTAATTTCGGGGTGCTGTTGTAAGTGCTATCTTTATTTAATTTTCTAATTGTTAGCATGAGAATATTAATAAAAGACTATCTAAAATTTAGTTAGAGGTTCAACAGAGGAGTGTAGCCAGTGAGAGGCCTGAGAAGGAGGAGCCAATGGGTGGAAGGAAAGGCTTTCAAACAGGAGGAACTAGTTAAGTGATCAAATGTGTAGAATGCTGTCACATGTAGAGTAAGGAAAGGACAGAAATGTGTCCAGTTGGATTTAGATAGATTTTTTCCAGATGTATTTTTACAATATATTTTTATTGAGTTCAGAGGAGAAGGGAGAGGGAGAGACAGACAGAAACATCAATGATGAGAGAGAATCATTGATCGGTTGCCTCCTGCACACCCTCTACTGGTGGTGGAGCTTGAAACCTGGGCATGTGCCCTGACCTGGGAATCAGACCTTGACCCCCTGGTTCATAGGTTGATGCTCAGCCACTGAGCCATGCAGGCCGGGCCATAAGTATTTTTTTAAAGGAGAGAATTATGTTTATTTGCTGACCAGGATGATTCATTAGAGTGGGAGGAATTGATAATGTAGAGAATTGATCCAGGAGTGTAATCATTAAGGGAAATGAGACAAAGGGGAATTATCTAAGAGCTAAATACTTAAAAATGGGATCAGGGTCCTAAATCTGGATCTGGACTTTAATAGCAGCTGTTACATGAGGGAAAATTGAGATAGAATGGTACACTTGGAATTAATGGCAGTTAGTTTAATTAGAAAATTCAGTCAAATTATGCATATTAATAAAGTATTAATATTTATTGAATGTTTAATGCTATGTCTGGCACTCTTTAAAAACATCTCATTTAACCCTCCTAAAAACTTATGAGTTTGGAATTATTAACCCCATTTTGTGGATGAGAAAACAATGTTCAGAGAGGTTAAGTTGCTAAAGATCATGCCCTTCACTCCCAAGGAGGGTGTCTGGGCACTGCAGCTCAACGATGGGCAGTACTGGGCTGTGTCGTCCTGAGCGGACCCCCTCAGCTGTGGCCACCTTTCCCACTTAAGAGTGGCACTGGATCTCAAAGTGGGGGCTGTGTCCTTTTATGCTGTGGAGGACCTGCACCCACCTCTACACATTCCGTGTCAGCTTCCAAGAGCGTGTGTTCCCTCTTTTCTCTATCTGCTCCACTGGCACCTTCTTGCGAATCTGGCCTTGAGAGACATTGCCCAGCCTCCAGAGGGAGCGGGTCAGTCAAGGGTTGAAGAATACATAGATTATCGCATATTCACTTTTAAAGGCAATTATAAGTATATTTTTGGGTAATTATCAGTATATTTTTAAGTTTTAAAAGAATAAAAATGGTTGTGTATTTATCACTACCACTACTGAGTTGTTGATAGACCTAGAACTGTTAAATTTCCAAAATCTTCAATCTTGAATATTACAGTACCAAAAGACTAAAAGAGAGGTAGATATTTATCAGTCTTATTTTTCTTATTAAAATAGATTCTTGATCAAGCAGTTCTCATTAGGAGAATTAATTTGTAAATTACCAAAGAGAATTAATAAATCTAAGGATTTATTAATCTTATTTTCTACATGTGCAGATAGGTCAGCATTTGTTTTCATTACTATGACGTAACTTTAGTAAAATAAATAAAGGAAATTAACTTGGTCATTTGTTGTTACTAGTAAACTGTTTTGTAAGAAGATTGAGAGACTATTTGATCCTGAGTACTTGAACCCAGATTCTCGGAATACTGCAGCAACGCTGTACAGGTATGGTGGCATGTTTTTCTTTGGTAGGCTGTATGATGCAGCTAAAATCTTTAATTTACTATATTTACATTTTCCTTCTTATATGTTTTTATATCAATTTTTGTTATAGATGCTGTTTGTGTAAGAAACTTTTAACAAAAGAAACAGAAAGAAGAATTTCTTGCATTCCTGGAAAAATCAATGTGGATCGACATGGAAATCTTGTGTATATTCACATAAGGTGTAGTGAAAATAAAATACAGCTTTTCAAATGTAAATTACTAGTGTATTTATAGAAGCATAACTACTCCTATAAGGAATAGGATATATTTTCTGCATGTGATCCAACTTTGATTTAGAGCAGTGGTTCCCAAAGTGGGGCACATGCCCCACAGTGGGGCAGTTTGTTTTTTTGTTTTGTTTTGTTTTGTTTTTTTAAAATATATTTTATTGATTTTTTTACAGAGAGGAAGGGAGAGGGATAGAGAGTTAAAAACATCGATGAGAGAGAAACATCGATCAGCTGCCTCCTACACACCCCCTACTGGGGATGTTGCCCGCAACCAAGGTACATGCCCTTAACTGGAATTGAACCTGGGATGTTTCAGTCTGCAGGCCGATACTTTATCCACTGAGCCAAACCAGTTAGGGCCAATTTGGTTTTTAAGGGGGGCAATTTGAGAATGAGTTATTAACAGTGAATTTTTTGCATTTCTTATGGTTCTAGGGGCCTCATATACAGTATGTAAATATATATTGTGACATATTTATGCATTTTAGTTCTCTATTATATGTTTATTTGCATGTTAAACTTTATTTGAAATTTTTTATATCACTTTATACTATTTCACTAGAGCCTGGTGCACGAAATTCGTGCACTGAGGGGGGGTTTCCCTCAGCCCAGCCTGCACCCTCTCCAATCTGGGACCCCCTCAGGGGATGTCCGACAGCCAGTTGACAACCGACAGTTGGATATCCCTGTCACAATCCAGGACTGCTGGCTCCCAGCCACTCGCCTGCCTGCCTGCCTGATTGCCCCTAACCACTTCTGCCTGCCAGCCTGATCACCCCCTAACCACTCCCCTGCCAGCCTGATTGATGCCTAACTGCTCCCCTGCCGGCCTGATCGCTCCCAACTGCCCTCCTATCCTCCCCTGCCAGCCCGGTCGCCCCTAACTGCCCTCCCTTGCAGGCCTGGTCCCCCCCCAACTGCCCTCCCCTGCTGGCCATCTTGTAGCTGTGGGTGCCACCATCTTTGAGGGCGTGGTGGTCAATTAGCATATTCTGCCCTTATTGGCTGTGGGCACTGCCATCTTTGAGGGCATGAGAGTCAATTAGCATATTCCCTCCTTATTGGCTGTGGGTGCCACCATCTTTGTGCCGTGCGGGTCAATTAGCATATTCCCTCTTGATTAGGTAAGATTTTTTAAACAATTTCTTAGTGATTTCTTCCTTAGTACTTCAGCTGCCCTTTTGTTCTTTTGTTTTTCTCTTTCATGGATGCCATGTACTTTGGAAGCTTGTTTAGACCAAGTTAATGGCCTTTTAGGCTTCCTCCACATGAATCGGAGTTCACTTTTTGAAGAATAAGAATTATGTCACAGGGGACATCAGGATTTTAGAGATGCTTAGGAGGGGCATGGCCAAAAAAAAGGTTGGGAACAAGTGATTTAGAGAGATGCTATTTCCAAAACAAAATTGTTTTAAAGGCTATGTCTTATTGACTGGGTAAGTATATTTTTTAAGTTTTAAAAGGATAAAAATGGTTGTGTATTTATCTCAAAAGATATTTTGATCAGTACCATTACAATTATTTCTTTTTACTAACAGATTTTAGTTATCTATATAAATGTTACTTTGAATATGACAAGAGAACCAAGTTTACTTTCAGGTGAATTTTTGTAAATGAGGAAAATTGTCTTTAAAATTGAATATTCCATAATCTATGTATTCTTCATACTTTGTCAATATTCCATTAATACATAGTGTTTTTTTTTATTCCCCTTTAAGTTCAAAACCAGTTCTCATTCTGAGTTGGAGGGAGAGTGTTGTTAAATGGTATGTCTCAAGAAAGCAAAAACTTTCAAATATATCCTACTCCTAGGAATTAACACAAAGAGGTAATATTGGATTTGTGAAAGCACTTAATAAGGACATTTATTGCTATGTTGTTTAAATTTTAAAAGGGAAACACCCAAATAATTAAACAACCTAAAATGTCTATGCAATAATGTATATAAAGCACAGCTAATCAATTCTTAATGTGCAGCCTTTGAGAATAATGTTTTAAAGGACTATATACTTACATATAAAGTTGTTAGTGGTAAATTAAGTGAAAAGAAGAACAGGTTATAAAACAAAACTAGAAACATGCCCACTAAAATGTTAACAGTGTTACCATTGAGTGAGTATTATGGATGGTTTTAATTTTCTTTGTGCTTGTTCTTTTTTCTTCATTAAAAATGTGCACCACTTTTACTAAAGAAAAAAACTACAAATGTTAATTTCATAGTTTAAACATTAAAACAGAAGTACAGAAAACATATTTGACCTTAATATGAATAGCACAGTCAACTTTAAAATGTTTCATTTTTCTCTTCATACAATAATCAGGGAATCTTTTTAGTTATTGTAAGCACTTGGGATTTTATACTTTTTTGTCTTGAGACTTGATTCATATTTTTAAAATTATGTCCATTCTGGCCCTAGCCAGTTTGGTTCAGTTATGCCTGCGGACTGAAGGGTCCCAGGTTCAATGCCGGTCAAAAGCAAGTTGCAGGCTCCTCCCCGGCTCGGGCCCTGGTCAGGGCTCATGCAGGAGGCAACCAATCGATGTGTTTCCTCTCACATCAGTATTTGTGTCTTTCCCTCACTCTTCCACTCTCTCTAAAAATCAATGGAAAAATATCCTCAGGTGAATATTAAAAAAAATTATGTCCATTCTGCCCTGGCCAGTGTTGTCAGGGTCAGTGTTTCTCTCTCTCTCTCTCTCTCTTCCTCTCTCTAATATCAATTTTCAATTATTTTGAAAATTATTTCCATTCTGATAGCAATAACTAATATGTATTCTATATATATTCTGACATTGGGACCTATATGAAAAAAATTGATAACTTCAACATCCATTTTTGTTTTATTCAAAGTATTTTAGCAAGTCAGCTGTTGATGACATTTTAAAAAATTGTCTTTAACTTAAAACAGATATGCCTATGTAAATTGCAATAATATGATGTCATTTTGTTATTTGTTGAACTAAGGACAAAAATAGCAAAAGTCTGAAAAGATGCCCTGGCCGGTTTGGCTCGGTGGATGGAGCGTCGGCCTGTGGACTCAGGGGTCCCGGTTCGATTCTGGTCAGGGGCCTGTGCCTTGGTTGGGGGCACGTCCCCAGTGGGGAGTGTGCAGGAGGCGGCTGATTGATGTTCCTCTCTCATCGATGTTTCTAGCTCTCTGTCCCTCTCCCTTCCTCTCTGTAAGGAAATCAATAAGATATATTAAAAAAAAAAAGGTCTGAAAAGATTAAGGAACTTGGGGAAAAAAATAGGAACTTGAGTTACATATGACCATAGCAAATAGGGTTTTAAGCCTTTGCTATTTTTTAAAATACACTTATTGATTTCAGAGAGGAAGGGAGAAGGAGAGATAGAAACATTAATAATGAGAGAGAAACATTGATTGGCTGCCTCCTGCACTCCCCACACTGGTGATTGAGCTTGCAACCCAGGCATGTGCCCCTGACCAGGAATCAAACCGTGACCTCCTGGTTCATAGGTCAATGCTCAGCCACTGAGCCATGTCAGCCAGGTGCCTTTGCTATTTTTAAAGTTGATCTTAACATAAAAATGTATATTACCATGACCTAATTATATATTACTATATTATTTAATTACTAAAAAATACCTCCTGAGAATAATATAAACACATTAATGAAATGTTTACAATCACCCATAATTAACAACTTATTATATAATATGTACAATTAGAATAAAGCAACGTATGTTGAAGCCCCAAATGTTAGCCTACTCAAACTTTATTTAACTTATAATCCTTTATGTAGCTTAGCAAAATAATTTGGCATTCAACCATTCATACCTTTTCCTGTTATCCACAGAAAAATAAAGCATAAACAAACTCCCAAATGATATTTTACCTACTGTTCAGTCCATTCTACAACTATTAGTTAGGGACTATTCTTGGATATAAACCACAAATTTAAAAGCATTTGCACTAAACAATTGTTAATATTGATTTCTTGTAAAATAATATAACAATTGATGCTCTTTCCCCAGAGATAAGACTTGGGATGTTCATGAGTATTTGAATAGTCTTTTTGAAGAATTAAAATCTTGGAGAGATGTATATTGGCGCTTGTGGGGAACAGTCAACTGGCTAACTTGTTCAAGGTGTTTTCAGGTGAGTTTTTAAAAATATATCCTGCTCTGCAAACATTGAGAGCAGATTCTTTGGTATATGCTATTTAATTAGTATATTTGGATGTGTTTTGACACTATCTAACATCTTTATAAGAATTTGGTGGCAAAAGCGGTTCTATTAAACATTGCTTAATAGACTTAATTTCTCTTACTATGTTGCTTCTTCCTCTTTATTTTCATTGTTGAAACGACCAGTGACTTGCTGAATTTTTAGAAAACCAACAGGTTATAAGTGATCAAATACATTTTTCCAATTATTTCCAGCTAAACTGTTTCTCTGTTGGCCCATACATTTCTTTATTTTTTACTTGTACTTATTTATTTTAAATTAATTTTACCTTTCTTTAATATCACTTTGCTTTCTCGAAGCCTATCTTTGTTCATTCTGTAACATTTCATGAGCACATACTAATGTGCCAAACACTCTTCCTTGCCAGGTGAAGAGCACTGAACTGGGCTGTCACCTTTATTTTCATTTAAAAGTCAAACATCAGATGTAAATGGTAGCCCATGCATTTCTTTAGAAACACCTTTGCAGATAGGATGCGATCGACATATCCCTTCTTGTTATAACAGCTGTGTTCCCAAAGGGTTTTGTTCATTTTTTTAATAAATGAGTCTATAATAAAAGCACAGGAAAGCTTGCTATGTGAAGGTACCTATAATAAATCGTTTTATAGAATAAATAGATCTTTATAGATCACAATCATTCCTGATTAGGCTTATGTATAAACTAGAAGCCCAGTGCACAAAAATTTGTGCACTCGGGGGGTCCCTCAGCCCGGCCTGTGCCCTCTCGCAGTCTGGGACCCCGTAGCCTTGAGTGGAGGCCAGGTCCGGCTGGAAGCAGGTATCTGGGATTTATTTATCTTCTATAATTGAAACTTTGTAGCCTTGAGTGGAGGCCAGGTCCGGCTGGAAGCAGGTATCTGGGATTTATTTATCTTCTATAATTGAAACTTTGTAGCCTTGAGTGGAGGCCAGGTCCGGCTGGAAGCAGGTATCTGGGATTTATTTATCTTCTATAATTGAAACTTTGTAGCCTTGAGTGGAGGCCAGGTCCGGCTGGAAGCAGGTATCTGGGATTTATTTATCTTCTATAATTGAAACTTTGTAGCCTTGAGTGGAGGCCAGGTCCGGCTGGAAGCAGGTATCTGGGATTTATTTATCTTCTATAATTGAAACTTTGTAGCCTTGAGTGGAGGCCAGGTCCGGCTGGAAGCAGGTATCTGGGATTTATTTATCTTCTATAATTGAAACTTTGTAGCCTTGAGTGGAGGCCAGGTCCGGCTGGAAGCAGGTATCTGGGATTTATTTATCTTCTATAATTGAAACTTTGTAGCCTTGAGTGGAGGCCAGGTCCGGCTGGAAGCAGGTATCTGGGATTTATTTATCTTCTATAATTGAAACTTTGTAGCCTTGAGTGGAGGCCAGGTCCGGCTGGAAGCAGGTATCTGGGATTTATTTATCTTCTATAATTGAAACTTTGTAGCCTTGAGTGGAGGCCAGGTCCGGCTGGAAGCAGGTATCTGGGATTTATTTATCTTCTATAATTGAAACTTTGTAGCCTTGAGCGTAGCCCCAGGCCAGCCAGGGCAGGCGGGAAGCTTGGCTTCCTCCGTTGCCAGGGGCAAAACAAGCCTCCTGCTCGTTCCAGCTCCGTGGCCGCTGCCATCTTAGTTGGGTTAATTTGCATACTCACTCCTGATTGGCTGGTGGGCATGGCTTGAGTGTAGCGGAGGGATGGTTGATTTGCATGTTTCTCTTTTATTATATAGGATTCAGAGTGTTCCATATAAAGTTTTTTTTTTAATATGTTTGTATTGATTTCAGAGAGGAAAGGAGAGGAAGAGAGAGAAACATCAATGATGAGAGAATCATTGATCGGCTGCCTCGTGCACACCCCCTACTGGGGATCGAGCCCACAACCTGGGCATGTGCCCTTGACCGGAATCGAAACTTTCAGTCCTCAGGCTGACAGTCTGTCCACTGAACCAAACCAGCCAGGGCTACGTAAAATTTTTTATGACTCCCTAATGTCTTCCTGCCCCCAGTAATTTTCCTCTCTCACTTGAGTAATGATTTTAAGTAGAGTGAAGGAAGAGCTACTTATTAAAACCTTCAGAGTGAGGTTTCTCAAACTGTATAGGTTTATACCCAATGGACTCCCTATTTCCCCTCAATTTTTAAAAATTGGACTTATTGAAGTATAATTTATATACAGTAAAATTTACCTTTATACAGTAAAATCAGTTCCTTTTAAGAGGTTTGACAAACACAGTTATGTAACTACCACCACAATCAAAACATAGTCCAGTTCCATCACCCTGAAATTTTTTTTGCCTGTTTGTAGTCAGTTCCTTCTCCCACCCCCGACTCTGACAATCACTGACTTGTTTAAGTGTCTTTATAATTTTGACTCTTCCAAAATGTCATACAGATACTATTATAACATTTTTTACTTTTTGGGTCCAGCTTTTTTTATCTAGTAAAATGAACTTGAAATATTTATCCATTCACCAGTGAAGAACTTTGTAGGTATTTCTAGTTTAGGACTATTATGAAGAAAGCAACTATAAACATTTCCTACAGACTTTCATGTAAATACTAGTGGCCCAGTGCATGAAATTCATGCACATTAAAAGGGAATTACTTAGAAGAAATATTTTAATATTGCTATTTGCCCTTTCTTTATAATAGAAGTGTCAGAGATGAAAGACAATTAGTAAAATGTATATGAAAATCTCCCTCCTGTCAGAGTCTGGGGTGCGCCACAGGACCCAGAGTCAAGTCCCCGCCCATCTGTCTGCACCTTGAAATCGTACGAGACCCAGACCTAGCAGCCCCACCCCCGTCAAGCCCCGGAGGGCCAGAGGCACAGCCTCAGGTCCCCTGGCCCAGCTCCGGGCAGGGGGCGCAGCCTCAGGTCCCCCAGCCCAGCCTCAGGTCCCCTGGCTCCAGTGTGATGGCATGATGACCATTTGCATATTAGCTCTTTATTATATTGGATAGATTTTCCCCTTGGGTAACCTAGAAGTAGGATTGCTAGATTGCATGGTAAATGTTATCCTAACAGTTTTCCAAAGTCCTGAACTTGCATTCCTCCCAGCTGTCTCTGAGAGGTCTAGTTGCTCCACATTTTCACTAGCACTTGATATTGTCAAGTTGGTGTTTATGTTTTTTGTAAATTTAATAGCTGTAACATCATATCACTTATAATCAAGAATATCAGGCTTCTAAAACCTGACTTGTTTAGCTTGTCAGAACATAGAAAATTTGAGGGATTTTTTTTCTCCTTTATAGAAAATTGAATATTGATTTTATTTATAGCATTTAACATTTATTATGGAGAGTTCATAAACTCAAAAAATAATTTGTATGCTAAATACTTTGTGTATGAGTGTATGCCTTATAGCTTTTATCAGACTCAAAAAATTTTAATTAAAAATCGTTTGAAAATCAACTAGAACTAACAAGTATTCTGAATTATAGATTATCCTTTTTTGCCTTTGTGTTCAAGATCAGTGCTTAACCCTAGCCAGTTTGGCTCAGTGAACAGAGTGCTGGCTGGCCTGTGGACTAAAGGGTTCCAGGTTCAATTCTGGTCAAGGGCATGTACCTCAGTTGTAGGCTCGATCCCTGGCCCTGGTTGGGGTACGTGTGGGAGGCAACCAATCAATGTGTCTCTCTCACATCAATGTTTCTCTCTCTGTCTCCCCCTCTTTGTTCCACTCTCTCTAAAAATCAATGGAGCCCTAGCTGGTTTGGCTCAGTGGATAGAGCGTCGGCCTGCAGACTGAAGAATCCCGGGTTCGATTTCAATCAAGGGCACATGCCCAGGTTGCAGGCTTGATCCCCAGTGGGGGACGTGCAGGAGGCAGCCAATCAATGATGCTCATCATTGATATTTCTATCTCTTTTTCCCTCTCCCTTCCTCTCTGAAATCAATAAAATACATATATAAATATATGATCAAAAAATAATATAAAATAAACAAAAATCAATGGAAAAATATCATTGGGTAAGGATTAACAACAAAAATAAAGATCAGCGCTTAAAATGATTAATTTTGTTATTTTCTTTAAATTATTTTTATCAACTTATAAACATATCTGGATTGTATAGTAAATGTAATTCTAACAGTTTATTACTTTTTAAAAAACAGTTCATTTTATAATTAAACCTTGATGTTTCTTTACCAATGATTCAAAGTTACTCCATTGTTTTCATTAATACTAATGTTAAATATTTATCTTAAAATGCAAAGAATAATCAAGGCAAAATTTTATTTCATTATTTTCACTGGAAACTTTTTACATGATTGGCTATTGTAAAATTAGATGTACATCAAGATCAATTAATTCATCTGAATTTTGAGTAAAGTGTTCTTGGTTTTTCTTTTTAATAATTTTATTGAGGTATAATTATATGCCATAAAATTCATTTATTTTAAGTATACATTTTAGTAAATTTAGAGTTGTGTAACCATCACCACCATCCAATTTCAGTACATTCCCATTACCCCCAAAAGATTGCTTGTGTCCATTTGCTGCCACTCCCCAATCTTATCTCCAACCTCAGGCAACCACAAATCTACTTTGTGTCTCCAGAGATTTGATACTGCTGTACTTTTTATGTAAAGGGAACATACAGTATGTGATCTTGATTAAAGTATTTTTGAGATGTAAATTTCAATGTGGGAATAATAATTGATTTTATATTTTTCTTTTATTTAGGTTTTCCTCTGCACAGAATTTTCACATTGTCAGTATCACTCAGAAGCGGTGATTTATCCTCCTGCAGCCAGTTCACTTAGTACTGTGGGCACTGGAATTTATCCCTGCTGTAACCAGAAGGTCCTTCGGTTTGATCCTACTCAGTTTACAAAGGTAAAGGTAAAGGATTGATGGTATTACAGTATTGCAATGAGCATCCTTGCACATGCATCTTGGTACAATACATGAGTATTGCCATAGGTTAGAGTCCTGATCATTAACACTTTTGAAAATCTTATGTAATTAAATTTCATGAGTGCTGAAAGGAACCTAAAGCTCCTTCTCATCATCCTCCATACAACAAATACAGGGTGGGGCTAAAGTAAGTTTACAGTTTTTGTATGAAAAATAATACAATAATTAATAGATAACAATACTAGAATAAACTCTGTATTTCCCATACTCACGACTATACACCTACTTTTATCTCTCCCCGTCTCCCACATTTATAAAGTACTGAAGTTGTATCACACACTGTGCAAGACAAAGAGTAGTGTATAAATTAGATAGTTTCTGTCTTAATGGAGCTTTACAGTTCAGGTAATAATATCAAAAGGGGAAAAAACACAAAGAAATGTTGGAAGAAGTATTCAGAGTTATAAATGTCTGTAATAGGCTGGTCTTACCTGGCCACTGAAGCCAAGGAATGCCTTCTTAAGGAGTTGGTATTTCGTTGACAAAGGGAAAGAGCCTTCCAGTCAAAACAGCAAGTCCAAAAGGAGCACAGTGAATATAAGAGACTGAAAGAAACCAGGCTTGTTAGAGAAAACATGACAGTTCAAGACAAGGCTGGAGATGCTGGAGATGTCAGGCCATGGACGAACAGGACCTCACAAGCCATGTTTGAGTTTTTTTCTTCATTTCAAGTTTTTGAAAATATCAGTTGTGTGGAGAATGGCTTGAGGAATAATCAGTGAAATTAGGGTCAAGAAGTTATTACATAGCCTTAGAGAATGATGATGGTAACTTGGACTAGGGTAGTGGCAATGAAAAGAAATAGATGAATTCTATTTAGGACATAAAACTGATTGATGGACCCAAATAAACCAAATCAGAAACGATAGAGGCGAAATAACAACAGACCCCACAGAAATACAAATGATTGTTAAAAAATACTATGGACAGCTCTACTCCAACAAACTAGACAACCTGGAGGAAATGGACAAATTCCTAGAAAAATACAACATTCCAAAACTCAATCAGGAAGAATCTAAAAATCTCAATAGGCCAATAACTATGGAAGAAATTGAAGCAGTCATCAAAAAGCTCCCAGCAAACAAAAGCCCAGGACCAGACGGCTTCACAGGGGAGTTTTACCAAACATTCAAGGAAGAACTAAAACCTATCCTCCTCAGACTACTACAAAAAATCCAAGAGGAAGGAACACTTCCAAGCTCATTCTATGAAGCCAGCATCACCCTAATACCAAAACCAGGTAAAGACAACACAATGAAAGAGAATTACAGGCCAATATCCCTCATGAACATAGATGCCAAAATCCTCAACAAAATCTTAGCAAATCGGATCCAGCAGTACATCAGAAAGATCATACACCATGACCAAGTAGGATTTATCCCAGGGATGCAAGGATGGTACAATATACGCAAATCAATAAACGTGATACATCACATAAACAAATTGAAAGAAAAAAACCACATGGTCATATCAATTGATGCAGAAAAAGCATTTGACAAAATCCAACACCCATTTTTGATAAAAACTCTCAGCAAGGTGGGAGTAGAAGGATCATACCTCAACATAATAAAAGCCATATATGACAGGCCCACAGCCAACATCATACTCAATGGACAAAAACTAACACCATTTCCCCTAAGAACAGGAACAAGACAAGGATGCCCACTCTCACCACTCCTGTTCAACATAGTCCTGGAAGTATTAGCCATTGCAATTAGACAAGAAGAAGAAATAAAAGGCATCCAAATTGGAAAAGAGGAAGTAAAACTGTCCTTATTTGCAGATGACATGATATTATACATACAAAACCCTAGAGACTCCATCAAAAAACTACTAGACTTAATACATGAATTTGGCAATGTAGCAGGATACAAAATTAACCCCAAGAAATCTGAGGCATTTCTATACACCAATAGTGAACTTTCAGAAAGAGAGATTATAAAAACAATCCCATTTACCATCGCACCAAAAAAATTAAGCTACCTAGGAATAAACTTAACTAAAGAGGTAAAAGACCTCTACTCAGAAAACTACAGGACGTTGAAAAAAGAGATAGAGGAAGACATAAACAGATGGAAGAACATACCGTGTTCATGGATTGGTAGAATCAACATCATTAAAATGTCCATACTACCCAAAGCAATCTATAAATTCAACGCACTTCCCATTAAAATACCAACGGCATACTTCACAGATCTAGAACGAACTCTCCAAAAATTCATCTGGAATAAAAAAAGACCCCGAATAGCTGCAGCAATCCTGAGAAAGAACAAAGTAGGTGGGATCTCAATACCAGATATCAAGCTGTATTACAAAGCCACTGTTCTCAAAACTGCCTGGTACTGGCACAAGAACAGACATATAGATCAATGGAATAGAATAGAGACCCCAGAAATCAGCCCGAACCAATATGCTCAATTAATATTTGACAAAGGAGGCAAGAACATACAATGGAGCCAAGATAGTCTCTTCAATAAATGGTGTTGGGAAAATTGGACAGATATATGCAAGAAAATGAAACTAGACCACCAACTTACACCATACACAAGAATAAACTCAAAATGGATAAAGGACTTAAATGTACGACAGGAAACCATAAAAATTCTAGAAGAATCCAAAGGCAACAAAATCTCAGACATATGCCAAAGCAATTTCTTCACTGATACAGCTCCTAGGGCAGTTGAAACTAAAGAGAAAATGAACAAATGGGACTACATCAAAATAAAAAGCTTCTGCACAGCAAAAGAAACCATCAACAAAACAACAAGAAAACCCACTGCGTGGGAAAACATATTTGCCAACGTCATATCTGATAAGGGCCTAATCTCCAAAATTTATAGGGAACTCATACAACTTAACAAAAAGAAGATAAACAATCCAATCAAAAAATGGGCAAAGGATCTAAATAGACACCTTTCAAAAGAGGACATTCAGAAAGCCAAGAGACATATGAAAACATGCTCAAAGTCACTAATCATCCGAGAGATGCAAATCAAAACAACAATGAGGTACCATCTCACACCTGTCAGAATGGCTATCATCAACAAATCAACAAACGACAAGTGCTGGAGAGGATGTGGAGAAAAAGGAACACTTGTGCACTGCTGGTGGGAATGCAGACTGGTGCAGCCACTATGGAAGACAGTATGGAGTTTCCTCAAAAAACTGGAAATGGAACTCCCATTTGACCCTGTGATCCCACTTCTAGGAATATATCCCAAGAAACCAGAAACACCAATCAGAAAGGATATGTGCACCCATATGTTCATAGCAGCACAATTCACCATAGCTAAGATCTGGAAACAGCCTAAGTGCCCATCAGTAGATGAATGGATTAGAAAACTGTGGTACATCTACACGATGGAATACTATGCTGCTGTAAAAAAGAAGGAACTCTTACAATTTGCAACGGCATGGATGGAGCTGGAGAGCATTATGCTAAGTGAAATAAGCCAGTCAATGAAGGAAAAATACCACATGATCTCACTCATTCATGGATAATAAAGACCATTACAAACTTTTGAACAATAATAGATACAGAGGCAGAGCTGCCTCAAACTGATTGTCAAACTGCAGTGGGAAGGCCAGAGAGGGTTGGGGGGCAGAAGGGAGGGGAGTAAGAGATCAACCGAAGGACTTGTATGCATGCATATAAGCATAACTAATGGACATAAGACACTGGGGGGTAAGGGAGGCCAGGGGATTGTCAAGGGTCAAGAAAAAAAGGACACATATGTAATACCCTTTGTACTTTGTAAAGCAATAAAAACATTAAAAAAAACTGATTGATGGATTGTATCATAGAGGGAGAAGGATGACTCAGTTTCATGCTTGTGCTACTCGATAGATGGTGGTATTATTCACTGAAGAGGAAACAACAGAAGGGAATTAGGTTTGGAGAGAAGCTCACGAGTTCTATTTTGGACATTTTTTGAATGTGAGATGCTCTGAGGTAACCAGTCAAAGAGTGTTAAATATATGGGTTTGTGTTCTCAGAGGAGTGGCTAGGCTGAAGATAATAATTTGTAACTCTTCTTGCAAATAAATGATGCTTGAAGCCACAAAGTATAGGTGAGTACAAGATCAGAGGCCCTACAGTGAAACCTAGAGAAACTCTAACATTTAATGGCTAGAGAAGCTACAAAGAATAATAATCAGAAATAGCCAGAATAATCGGAGGGAAATGAAGAATGTTGCCATGAAAGTCAAGAGAGTAGTGTTTAAAGAACGAGAGAGTGGTCCACAATGTCAAACATTGATAAGAAATCAAATAAGATAATGAAAGAAATGTGTTTTGGCTTTGTTGACTGGGAATTCAGAGATATGAAGAGCTGTTTTGGTATTACCCAGATCCTGAAGCCACATTAGTGTGAGCTGAAACATGAGTGAGAGAACAAATGGAGGCAACTCTTTCTCAAATTTCCCAACTCTTTTGGGAAATTTGAGAAAGGAAGAAGATGGATCAGTAATCAGGTTATGAGTATTTGTTTATTGTTTTTGTTTTATTTTGTTTTGATAGGAGAGACCTATTTATTTTTAAAATATATTATTGATTTCAGAGAGGTATAAAGAGGGAGGGAGAGATAGAAACATCAGTGATGAGAGAGAATCATTGATTGACTGCCTTCTGCATGCCCTCTGCTGGGGATTGAGCCTGCAACCTGAGCATGTGCCCTGACCAGGAATCAAACCATGACCTCCTGATTTATAGGTTTACACTCAACCACTGAGCCATGCCAGCAGGGCAATAAAAATATTTTTTTAAAAAGATTGCTAGGTAATTTATTTTTAGGGGGGGAAAGGCATTTAGTTAAATCAATTGTATTTCTATAAACCAGTGAGGTTACCTAGAAATAAATGTAACAAATATGTGCAAGAATGCTATAGAGAAAACAAAACATTATTGAGAGAAAATAAAA